GCCCCCCCCCAGCCACTGGATGGCATGGGGCACAGCGAGGGGCCCAGCCCCAGCAGGTCTGCATGGAGGCTGCGGGATGTGCCCTGCAGGGTCTGGCCAGCCGCACTGTCCAGGGTCACCTCACAGGGCTCCCAGGTGCCGGGAGCAGCTGCCCTGAATCCCTCTCACGCCTGCCCCCTGGCGCCACCCCCGGCCAGTGCCAGTAGCACCGGGAGGCACCTCCTTGCCCAGCCTGTGTTAACTCTCCCTACGAGGCGGCCCCCTGCCTCGCACCTGCCATCCCTGAAGGTCTGAGAACTACAACTCCCAGCATGCTGTGCTACAACAAGCTTCCGCATCGGAATGATTAAAAGGCGGGGGAGGCTCGTGGAGGCTGTGTGACCTAGTGGGTGGAGCAGGGCTCTGCTGCGTGTATGATCCTGCTCCATGTGTCTTAGCCCCTTTACTGCAGGTATCACCCTGCTGCAGCCCAGTCCCCAGGCCCTGCCCACCAACATCAATGCAGAAGAAGCAAAGCCCTTTGGGACAAGCAGACACAGTGACCTTGTGGGGAGGGTGCTTGTGCCGAGGCAGCATAGCCTAGCAGTTAGAGCTCAGCCCCGTGCCAGGAACTCCAGGGGTCTGATCCAAGCTGTGTCACAGGGTGACCTCAGCTGAGTCCCTCCACCTCCCTCTGCCTTGCCAGCGGTGTGCAGCCGCTGGTGCTGGGCCATGGCAGCTGGTCAGCGCAGCAGCGTTTGCCATGCACCAGGCTAACGAGCTCTGCTCTCTGTCCTCAGCCTACTCTGCACCTGGCACGCCCCCTGCGAATCGTTCCTTCGTGGGACTAGGACCAAGGGATCCCGGGAGTATGTATCAGGCACAGGTAAGAGCTGCACGCCCGGCGAGCCTCCGAGGGCCACAGCCATGCAGAGGGGGACTCCCACCTTCAGGGCTGCCTTCTGGCAGAGAGGCTCTGGCCAGCGTGCTGTGCAGGGCCCGGCCTTCCACCTGCGACCACGGCGTGGGGCGGGAAATAGCCAGCCCCATGGGCAGGCCAGGTGGCAGCAGGCCGGCGTGCTTGCCCGCCGCCTCCCCTTGCCTGGCGATCGGGCTCTTCGTGGCCCCGTGTTGGAGACCAGGAGAGGAGCATGGGCAGGCAGCCTCTCGCGCGGTAGCTGGGGCATCCTGCACCCGCAGCCTCACTCGCCTGCCCCCGCTGGAGCCCTAGAGCTCCCCATGAGGACCCAGCTCCCCAGGCCCCCCAGCCGAGAGGCGGGACGGACGGCCCCAGTGCAGGGCAACGGGGAGGGAGCCATTCAGGGCCAGGCTCACAGTCACTCAGGGCAGGGCCAGCGGAAGGGGCCAGGTAAGGTGGCTTTGAGCCACCTCGGCTCTCCAAACCTGAGGCCACGTGGGCAGCTGAGGAGAGCCCCAGCGTGGCTACTGTGCCCTTCTGTGCCAGCCCAGCAGGGTGCTCCGGGAGCCAGGAAGCCTATTTTAAGGTCCCTCAAAGCCAGATTGGCTCCTGGTGCCTGCCTGGACCTTGGACTAGGGGTCCCCCTGTGAGTAGGAGCAGCGGAGCCCCAGCCGAGATCTGTCACAGGCTGCGACACCCATGTCTGGTCATGCAGCACCCGTCTCCCTGCGTCTGGGCATCTCCCAGGCCCCCCAGTCCACCTCACTGGGCTCGGCTCAGTGCCTTCTGGGAGCATCCAGGCAGCTGCCCTATGTGCATTGCACAGTGGGACCCGCGTGGTAAAGCATCCTGGGATAGCCTAGTGAACAGAGAAGAAGGCAGAGCCACCAGACTGGTAACAGGGCAACACCCAGCAACCAGCCTGGGCCTCTGCCGTGGGGGGTCTGGCCCTGCCTCAGCCACGGGTGCAGGCACAGCCTGGGGGCACGGTGAGGGGGCCTGAGCCCCGGTGTGGCCACGCCGCGCAGACCTGCTCCACGGGATAAATCCTGCAGCAGGCACAGGAGCCTGGGGGAGGGAGCCAGGGTCCCGGGCCTGGGAGTCACTGCGTGTGCAGGGAAATAAAAGACCAAGCCAGACCACTGCTTGCTGGGCAGAGGAAGGGCAGGCGTGGGGGGCGGGGAGCTGATGGGCTGCTGCTGCCTGAATCCAACCTTTGGCCACTAGGTCTCTGGCTCAGCCCCGGCCGGAGGGCTGGCGGCCCCCTGGTGCTCCCCCGAGGGCTCGCAGAAGGGAGGCGGAGGGCTGCATGGGCCACGTCTGGGCTCCGCGCACAGAGGGACCCTGCTGCTCTCCGAGCTGGGAGAAGGGCCCACGGGCTGCTCTCTTGCTGGGTTTGGCTGGGCCCCAAAGGGCGGGAGGTGGGTCGCCCGGCCCGGCCGGGCTTTGTCCTGAGCTCTCGCCGGAGCACGTCCTGGCTCCGCTCCTGCCTCCCAGCCTCCATGTGCGCGGCCGCTGCCTGGAGCCAGCTCCGCCTTGGCACCCGCCCAGCAGGTCGGAGCCTCGCTGCAAACGTGCCACTGAACAGCTGGCAGCTGGCAGCCCCCACCCTGGCCACATGGCTGGGAAGCGGGGGGGCTGCCAGCCAATGGGATTCCTCCACACCGTTGGCACTTGGCAAAGCAGAGCAGCCCCCACGTAAGCTCAGTCCGGGAGGGGCAGCTCTCTGCTCTTAAAGAGACAGGGGCTGAAAAGACTCTCCCACCCCTCCGGATATCTCACCCTGGCCCTGACTCGGAGCCTGATCCTGCAGCCGGAGCGGCTGCCCCGGGCCATGCTGTGGGCACGCACTGCGCCCAGCCTCTGAAGTCCTGTCACAGCTGGGGCTGGGCGCGTGGAATTTCAGCTGCTTTTAATGAGCATGGTGCATTATTCCATCCGTAATCCATCAGCTGGTGTTTGCAGGGCTTGGGGTGCGAGTGCAGCTCCGCGTCCCTAGGTGGACACTGCTGGCCAGCCATGTGCCTGGGGGGCCTTATGGTCCTGCCGGGAGGGCCGGGGGCTGGACTCGATGACTCTCGAGGTCCCTTCCAGTTCTGAGGTTCTAGGATCCTCTGATTCAGTTGGGGCTGCAGTTCGTTGGGTGGACGAGGGTGTCTCCTGCCAGCCCTGGCGCAGACCCCGCTGCGCTGGGCGCCAGACGCACACGCAGCAGAGACGCCCTCCCTGCCCCGGAACTGACAGTCGGCGTATGGCAGGAGACATCACCAATAGGGAGAGGCCAGGGCGAGAGAGAGACTAGGAGACACGTAACAGATTAGTAGAGATCGGAGGGGGGGCTTCATAAGGGTCTGAGAACAGGGCCCTATGCAGGGACCTGTTCCTGGGATTTCCATGGAGCTGCCCTGAGCAGCTGCTGTTATGTGCCATGTTCCACCCCAGAGGGAGCTGCATTTCAGCAGCCGGTGGAATGATTCCTGCGTACTCCTGTGCTCTGTCATGGGCATTGGCGGGCCTGGCCAGGGAGAAGGCCCTGCAGGGCTGCTGAGGGGGTCATGTGCTAAGCAAGAGTTCCAGTGAGGAACACGCCGGCTCTGGGGGCGCCCAGCTGTGACCCAGCAACACTGTCACCTCTGACACAAGTTCGGCAGGCAGCAGCTGCTGCTCGGTGCCCAGCCCTGGGGAGAGCTCTCCTGCAGTTCCCGGGGAGCGGGAGAGGCCAGCGGGCACAGCCAGGCCTCCCTCGGTCCCTGCGGAGTGCCAGCACGGCTGCCAATTAGCGCCAATTGTTCTGGCGCCATCTGCGTGGCGGACAGTTGGCAGCGCGGAGGCGGGAGCCCAGAGCTGCCGGGAATTCACTCCCCCTCTGCTTTCCCCTGCTCCGCGTGTCCACATGTTGGCAGAATGAATGCAGGGCTGTAAACACTGGGCTGTTTGTCCAGCCTCTCTGGGGAGGCTGGAGACGGGGAGGGACTCAGGTGAACACTGTGCTCATTCATTGTGGTTGGAACCCCCAGGGAACAAAGGTACGTGCTGAGAAACCAGGTGCAGAGCACTGCAGGCCGCCTCCCCCGAGCCCTGCGTAGCCCGGGCGAATGCAAACTGCAGCACGGGGGGCTCCCGTGTCACCCCAAGCGGCTGCCAGCCCCGCCGAGCACCGCTCCTCCGGCTGCCAATTAGCCACCGGGCGCTCAAACGAGTAACTCAAAACAAAGCAACCCCATAACGGAACGAATTGCCCCGACCCAGAGAGCCAAGTGCAGTCGCTGGCAGTACCGGGGCGCTGCATTGTCAGAGATACTGTTTCAGTTACAACACAGACCACCAAGGGGCAGTTCTGACTTTATACTATTTGTCTTATAAATATTTGTGCTTTTCAGTTTCCTTCAGACAATGGGAAAGGGCGACGCGGCCATGGAGCTGTTTTCTTACCTAGCTGCACTCAAAGACAAAACAGTCACCCCGACAAGTCTACTCAGTCCTACGGCTTGTGCAGCCAAGCGTTCAAGCAACAGGTTTGCTTAGACCTACGGGCTCCTGCCTGTAACTCCCCACCCAGAAGTGCACTTTCACCAGAGTGTTCCCTACAGCACTCGCGGGGGTTGAACTGAAAAATACTCTTTCTTTTGTCCTTTTTCTGGGTCAAATAGGGTGTGTCTACACTAGGAAATGATTTCAAATAACTCCTGAAATAACTATTTCAAAATAGCATGTCCACACTACAAGGAAGCCTCAAAATGAGTCCGAGGCAGGCTCCCTGACTGTGGACACGGTACCTCGACTCAGGGCCCGAGGAAGCCCTGGGGAGTAATTACTCTGAATGGCTCTGGGGAGTGGTTATTTCAGAATAGTGGCAGTGGATCGTCCACGCTCCTGCTATTTCGAAATGACTCTTTTGAAATTAGCGTTATTCCTCGTGGAAAGCAGGAGATCCTCTTTCAAAATAACAGGCTTGGTAGTGAGGACGCTCCGCTTGTTATTTCGAAATAACGCCCCAGTGTAAACCAGGCCATATTTGTAATCACACTTAGTAACAGACAGTGAGCATGGTACATGGTATTCTGTGTTGTAATTGAAATCGATACATTTGCAAAACATGCAAAAAGGTTTCAATAAATTGCTATTCTGTTCATGCGTAGCAGTGTGATTAAAGCTGTGATGAATCGTGATTAATGGCTTTAATTATTTGCCATCCGTAGGCTAAACTCGAACTCCTCTTGGTGCTGAGCAAGAGTCACACTCCGTCCCCATGGGGGTTGTGTGCTGTGCGTGTGCAACCTCTGCTGGCTGCCTTCAGAAGCTCTCCACTGTGTGTGTCAGCTTCTCTAGGGCTAGCCACGGGCTCGCTCAGGGGCAGGGCCTGTGTTCTCAGAGCCGGCAGACCCGAGTTACCTACACGCACGGAGAGGGGGATGCATGGCCAGGATGGCACCGAGCGGGGGGAGCCCAGGAACAACCCAGGGTTGCAGTGGTGGTAGTTCATTCTTTTGGCTGAGTCACCCCTGCAGCGATGGCGGGTGCTGTGCGGAAGGGATGCGCTTCCCTCTGGGTCGTGCCCAATGCCTCGGGGTGGCACTAGGGTTGCTCTGATGTGGACAGCCGAGGGCTGCTTTGCCCTCTGGGTTTGGGGTGCAGGGAGCAGTGGGGGTGACGTGATAGGAGGCGCTCTCCCCTCAGAGCACGGTGGGGCATTTGCCCTCCAAATCAGCACTGCCCCCAAGCCAGCTGTGGAGCTGGAGCTGTTGTGCAGGTGACCCCTGGGGTCTCTGTCTCCTTTGAGCCGGCCTGCCCCACAGCTCCAGAGCGCAGCCGAGACGGGTCATCCTGAAGCCCTCTGGGCCTTAGCGACACTCCCAGAGCCGCCAAACGCCTGCGTTGTCCTGGCACAGGCCAGAGCTCCCGGCTTTCCCCTTCTCATCCCCAGCCAGCCCTCAGAGGGAACGCAGATCTGCAGAGCAGGGGCCACC